CACGACTCTCTGATATATTTATTGGCAAATTCAGAAGTCTAAATTCATCTGAATTGCAATATCCTGTCTTTGGTGAGTGGATAATCTTTAATTTATTTAGTTATTACAACACCTATCTTCCAGGTCATACAGCCACTTGGCAGAGGTCTTTGTAGTCTGAGATAAAGTAAAATTACCGTTGTGCCATAGTAGATCCCGGGCCACATGATTGGACATCCTTGGAGTTGTCAATAGGCACATGATCAATGTTCAGTATCAATGATCCACACTGGTAGTGGACAATTAACTCTTGAGAATATTAAAGTACTAGTAGTATAAATTAATAATAAAATAGCTAATACCTTGTGTAACCTCTCCTTGCTTCCAATACTGCAGCTACCCTATCACGCATTTATTTCTACAACTTCTCGAAGAACTCCTCAGAGATTGTCTACCAAACCAAAAGTAATACTTGTACAAACCTTCCCCTGACTGCCTCTTTTCCTACTGGGGTATCTCCAATCCTTGAATCCTGCTAGTGCAATCACTTTATAAGCTCAACTCATACATGCTCAATAGGATTCAAAGCTGTGGAATAAGGAAGATGTTTCACAACTTCAATACAGTTTCTCTCCAGCCAATCTATTACACTATGAGCCTTGTGAACAGGAGCATTGTCTTGCTGAAACAGGATATCTTGCATACTTAAAGAAATCATTTGATGAATTACAGGAAAAAGATACCTTCTCAAGAGTTGGATATACCTGTTCTTGTTAATGGTTTGAGTAATTAAAACTAAGGGACCTTGTCTCTTACCCCAAAAGCACCCCCAAACCATGAGCGATATTTCCTCATCCTTCTCCTTTAGATATATACAATCTGCCAACCATTTCTCTGCAGGTTCTCTAAAAACCCACTGTTGTATTGGATTCTTAGATTTCTCCACACTACACTCATTACTCCAAGTTGCTTTCTCAAAATCCTCAACTGTCTAGTTCTTATAAACTGTAGTCCACTCCAATTTCTTAGCTACATGGTCTGGCTTCAGCCTGGATCTTGACTTGGCTAGCCATTTTTTGATATTTGCCTCTCTGAGTACCCAGTCCACTGCAGACAAATATATTATAGAATCATGTCATATCACTCAGAGTAGCATGGACTTACCTGTCTCAAGAGAAACACTAGGTGCATATTTATTTCTGAATGCAGATCTCATCATTTTCCAGTTGGATTTCGCAGCCTTAATGACAGTATGACACTGTTGACAACTCAAAATGGGTGTGAAACTAGGATGAGGAAGATTTTCTCAAGATTGATGCTTACATGCTCGGACAAGGAAGCTCTGAACTGTTGTCCAAGGCTGTCCAATGATTTGAACCACCAAAGCAACATTCCAGAGGTACTAGAAAAAGGCGATTATCATGTCCTTCTCTGTAAGAATCATTTCACTCTGGGAGGTTTTGGGTAGGAGTCTTTTTTTTGCCACATGATTGGAATTTCCAGAATGGTTAACCATTGGTAAAAAAGATCAAGGGAATTAATCATGAAAGTGAGACTTCAATTGGTGGAAATTGTATGAATGGTCAGTACCAATGGGTTGAATGGTCAAGATCACGATCATGCTCATTGCAAGCTGGCATTTTGGCGAGGCCGGAGGTAGCTTAGTCACCTGAGACACGTTTCACGAACACTTCTGCCGAGTGGCTGTACTGTACATGCTTTATCATGCAAAGTGATAATTTGCATGCGCTCATCCTTAGTTATTTCCCGGCCCTTTACACTCTGCCCCGCCAGCACATAATCCTTCTGATGGCCTTTTACCCTCATGTCTCATTAATTGATAGAAAATAAAATCAAGAAGTCAAAAAAAAACAAAAAAACAGTGAATATTGTAATTTCGTAGAGAAACAGGGGGTGGTGATACTTGATCAACTATGGATACAAAAACTCGTACTCAAGTACTCTAGATTGACTGTTGGGATCACTGACTAATAGCTACAGGTGGCGGCAGGTTATTCATTATTAGGTGAAAGGCCTGCAACCAATGAGAAAAAGTTCGGCAGACTTACCCACAACCCCCGGTACCAGACAGTGAGTGGTAGTGGGAATTGCACCGCAAGCCCCAATGAAGCAATATCGAGAACCGCAAAGATCGCATAGAGGACCAAAGCTGATCCGGAAGCGGGCTACGGGAGCATCTCCGCTATTAGTCATGATCTTAAGGACCACCCAAATCATCCCAGGGGTGGGAGCCTAGGGCGTGAGGTATGCCCTACAGAGAGGCCCAGCACACTCAAACTTGCTACTACATTCTAAGAGAGGTTTAAGTCTGCTCGGATAGTCCTAGTGAGCTATGTGTTCACATCCCTACAATATTGACAGGGCTCTCTGGTCAGCCAACAACGGTGGGCTGTCATGAAATCAAATCTCGAGAAGAACATACGAGTACAGCTATGCTTGTCGATCGGATCGAAGATAGATATGAGAAGCAGCTTTTCCATCTGTTGGATTAACCCCGGGAACACGCTGGGGCGAATTGATGATTCTCATCCCGTTCAGGAAACGGACTGTGGCTAATCCAGACCGCAGTAGTATTAGTGCGCAGCCTGAACCTCACCATTACGATGGGATTCTTATCCGTGTACGCCTGGCCCTGGCCCCTCGCGAGGGAGAGTATTCGAGTGACAGGACTCTGGTCACGACATCCGACAGTGACGGCACTGTAGGAAGTGGCAGTTCCACCAAAACCGTATCCTACCCATTTTTGTTATTCCATCAGCCCACCGTGTTTGTTTTTTATCTGGGACTTGTAAATTCAGGGTCGGAGTTACCTTGGCTAGACAAGAGGATAGTGCAGACAGCAATATTAGACTACGGTGAAGCTGCGAGGCCGGTGACTGATGACTGAGTTCCACATTAGTCTACAGGTATCATACACCTGTCAGTTATGCCTCGTCAGAGTGAGTTAAGTTAGTCCCTCAAAGCGAGGACCGAACCCACTCATGGAACAACCACCCAACGCCTGATCAATTGATATGCATCGTCCTAGGACAAGGCTACCGTACTCGTACCATCACAAAATGGGTGGTGAACCAATTCTCCGCATTGAGCATAGTACTGACTAATCAGGAGGAGTCACCCGAGTACTCGTACTCATAGAGGGGAATTTGGATACAATCGTACGCCATCAATTAAACTTTGAGTGGGCTAACGCTGGAAGGGCGGTTTCCCTTGGTTCAGTTAGCGTCCTTGAGGATCGATATTCCCGGGCGGTTCCGCACCCCAGCAGTCACGTCGTGAGGACAAGAAATCGCATTTATCAACACGACATGGCACAAGGGGAGAGATGCTAGCGCCCGAGTAGACTCTATTCAAAAGTGATATTCCGAAACTAGAGCCATGTTCATTGGTGATGGTTGAAGTAGGAGTTTTCAGATGATTCTTCACTGATGCGTAAACACAGGGAATTCAATTAGATCATCGTGTTAGCCAATCATGCCCTAATGTTTTTGGTAGCACGCTTAGATGGACAAAGATATGGTAGATGGCGACCTCCTGTTATCTTTGATGAGGCAACTACTATCCTTGTATTATGTGAATGAAATATCCATCCATCCTGAATCAGAAGGCCCTGGTGATTAACAGACTTCCTAAGGTGTGGTGCAAGTACGATACGCCTCGTTCACAGAGCTAGGCTATTCACAAGAGAGGTTGAAATCATCAAAACATAGATGAAAGTCAAATGAGTTCTGCGAGTTTCATAGCGTCACGAATACTGTACAGGCTGTTGCCAACGAAGAATCGCAAATCGGGGGTTTTGGCAGAAGGGGAGTGGAGCACCAGTCAAAAGCTGCGAAGGCAGTTCACATTTTTCTGACATCTGAGCAGAGAGGTGGAGAACCCGGAGGCAATCCTTCCCAATCGCAACTCTAGTATGCAGCTCAGGACGGCGGAATTAAAGGAGGGACTATAGGTACAACAGGTCACTCGAGCACTGTAGCGCTGTAGGAGAGACCCCCCGGAAAGGTGTGTATGGGAGCGTCCCTCCTGGTTGATTGTGATGGTACAGATGAATAGGAAGATTGAAGTTGTTCACCCAATTGGTACCTGTAACATACTAGTGGGCCATTTACGTGTCCCACCGCGACTTAAAAACTCTTGAAATTCGCTAAGATTGTCAGCGAGGATCAACCCGTCAGCCCACGACACGCTTACGAGAAGTGTGACGGGTTAACAGAGTTGCGAATACCAGTTAAAGAGATACTGGACTCGGACAACACATCAGGCGGGCAAGTCTTATCGTGTCGGGGGGGCGCTAATCCTTGTCAGGAGCCTTTGACTCAGAATATGGAGATTACAGGGCTGTCGGAGATAGCAAAGCTCACGAGTTTTTACTCGTACGGGTACGGTACCCCGTACCGGTAAATCAGTGCTCTGTTGGTTCTGGAGGCATGAAGGAGAACTGTTATCCCGAGCACTTCGAAGCTTGGGCACTGAGGGCGGAGCCGCCTGCCCTGCACCCCCGAGCCGCTATCATACCTATACTAGGGTAGGACATTAGTGATGAGACCGACAAGGGTTTACAATGTCAAAGCTTCTTACCCCTCCTGGCGTTACAGCTACTAAATTAAATAATATTTTCCCTCTAACAGTATGGGCCCCTGGACACAAGGACCACTGCCTGTCCCATCACTAACGTCCATCCCCGGGTGGACCCTTTGAATTGGGTTCCTGAGCCGCCCCTGTCAGTTTCTGAGACAGAGATAACTAAAAGATTTTTGAGACTCGACTCAAGGACAATGCAAGTACCGTATTGCTCACTGAAGATGACGGGGCAGCCATATACAGTATAATCTTGCTTCCTGTCTAGAACATACAGTCTTCACCGTAGTCGCGACGAACAGGGATATTTTTGGGGGAGGAAAAAGAAAGAGCAAAGGTTAGGGTTACAAAATTACTGGCGCCCGCCCGGTTTCGTCGTGACTACGGTGAAGACTGTACACATCTTCGAAGTTTTGGTAACTGGAGAAAGTTGCTTATTAACTTTCGTCTCAAAACTTGAACGTGTGGCGCGAAATTATTTTTTGGTTTCGGCCGCACAGGAGATGAAGGTACAGTACTCGAGAACTGTACCGCACTGTACTTGTACGGTACTGGTGGTAGGTGGGAGCGATCACTGGAGGCTTCGTTGCCGATGGTCTAACGGTACCGGTAGTACTAGACGGGTTGCTAACGCTGGCATTGATTTTCTCGGGGCTGAAGCCGGCCAGCACCCCAGAAAGTAGGACAGGCAGAAGAGATGTCCGGACTCGAACACTCGAGTATCCATTGCCCAGGAAAGTTGCCCAAGAACTGGGGTTAATTGTTTCCAAGTATCAGTCGATTCTATAACTGGTGCATATTTACCACCCTTGACTGAGTAGTGAGTTGTGATACTTTGAAGGCTATAGGTGGGAATGGAGGGATAAGTACCGTACCGCACGCTTTCTGCATATCATTCCATTTCATTTCATTTTTTTTAAAAAAAACTACATTCCTGCGAAGAGTGACGGGAATATTCTGGAAGGGAGCGATGATTGGACTGGGAAGGAAGGGACGGAGGCGGGTAAAGTTGTGACACTGGGACGGTGCCAGCGTGTTTTTCCACCAGCCCCTCCACCTGTCCAATCCGGTCACTCAAAACAAGACAATCGGGAAAAAAAAGGAACGAAAAAATAAGGGAGAAGCTCAATTCCAAACGGCAGTGGAGTCAACTTGGACGAATAAAATTTCTTCAATACCGGTTCTCCCTAGGATCGCTGGAGGATCGTTGTGTCACGCACGTCACCTCGCTCACCAGAAACAATCCACTCGACGTCACTCAACGAGGTCGAGCAGCAACGGGAAAACTCACCCGCGATTGAACTCACTTGACGAACAACTCTTCGAGTTTCTCCCCCGCCTCACTTCAACCTCCACCCCCATCCTTTCTCTCCACCACTACCACCTCCTATTTCACTTCCTCTTCTCTCCTGTGCCCCTTGTTACCACTCCTCTTCCGGTCTCTTGCTCTTGCTTGACTGCTTCCATCTCCCACTATTGTCTTTGCCTACCGGCAACTATGAGCCACTTTAGTTATAAACGCTACCCCGCGCCGGCCTCCTCCCGGCAGCCTCCCTACCCACCACAACAGCAATACCCCGCACACATACCGCAATACGGTGCGCCGCCATACGTTCCCCCGCCTCCACCACCCCCGCCTACACCGCCATCACAATTTCCCCAGTCACAGTTTCCTCCGCCTGGAACCCAAGGGGCCACCCACAACACGCAGAAGCGCGCCCCTTCAGTTTTCGAACGTCTTAATCATCGTCGAGGCCAAAGTGCAACATCCCCGCCTCCCGTGCCACCAAAAATTCTTGACCCTAATAACCCTAGCCCCTATCAGTATCGTCAATACCCTGCGCCACCATCCTCGGTTTCATCCTCTTCGTCTTCAATTTCTTCATCTTCATCACGTTCCTCGCGACGTTATGGGTCATCGAGCTCTCCTAATCTTGCCCAGCCGTACCTCGATGGCTGCCCCGGTCGTTGTGGGGATCGGTCACAGAGTTTAAACCTCAGGCTCCCGCCTCGCGGTTACAAGCCACCCTCTGTCGAATCCGCTCCGCAGTCACCGCTTAGTCTTGATACCCTCTCCCCAGATTCTAAGCATGTGCTTGATGAAAATGAAAGCTATTTTCCAACCCTAGCTCCCGCCGTCCAGGCCAGACTACGGCAACAGCCAGTCCCACCAGGCTCTCCACCTCGGGAGGAGTCTCTGCCCCCGCATACCAGATTGCGTGGTGGATTCCTTGATGGGCGATTTGAAAACGAACCCAGCACAGCGGAATCCAGGTCCTGGAAAGAATACCCCGTGCCCTTTTGCGAAGGATCTGATGAGGGTTCGGGCCCTGATTCCCTATTAGAGTCGGAGCATGACACAGGGCCGGAGTCGTCTGTGTGTTCCTCACCAGGGGGTTCAAGACTTTATACCCAGACCTCCCCAAAGACTCCACCTTCGGGCGGCCAAGATTTTAGACGGTACCCCCAGACTTCTGGTCATCCCGAGCCGGTCGCAACTCCGAGGGAAAGAAGGTCCTATCCCTGGAGAGCGCCAACTGACTCACTACCTCGGCAGAGAGAATCACAGCCATACAGACATTCTCCAGGCCCTCGGATTGGCTATCAACCTCCGCCAATTCAGCCGCCACCTCCACTGCAAGCTCGGCAGAGCCCTCAGCTACGATATCAACCATCACCGCCTTTCCCGGCTGCGACACATGCCACACCTCCCCGACAACTCCCCCCGCAGCAGGTACGGCGTGATTTGCTACCGCCACCTCCGCGAGAACCCCTCCCCATGTGTCCTAAGAGGACCCCCGTATCCTGGGGGCAATGGTTTCAGATGTTATCAGTTCCAAATTTTGATGTGTGTGCAAATTGTTATTACACTCATATATATCCTACGCTCTTTGCGGAACACTTCCACCGTATCGAAAAGGCCCCAAATGTCGAGGCGTCTTGCGCTTTCAGTACGGAGCGTGTACTTCATAGGATATGGCCCAATGCCCTTGAGAGGGGAGTTCTGAATGGCCTCCGGGACTATGCTCTTATGAGGGCAAATATCCCTGAATGCAGGACTGTCTCTGGGGACCCAGTAAACGGGTTATCATCGAGGTGGTGGAGGGTGATCGACGGATCTATGCCAAGGTTCCGGTGCTGCGATGCTTGTTACCAAGATATGGTAATGGCTACAGGATTTTCTTCTTACTTCGCTCCAGCAAACCCTCAACCAGAGGAGGAGGCTTGGGTCTGCGATCTCTCTTTTCCATTCATCTCGGGAGGTATGCTTTCGGTGTCGAATTACCAGGATAATATCAGGAAGGATCAATGGGATGATTTTGTTAGCGTGGTGAGGTTCCGCCACGACGTCCCGCCATGCCCGGGGCCCTCCATGGTGAAGAGTGGGGAACGAAAGTGGTACATTCCAAAGAGACCTATACCCGGTTTGGCTGTCTGCGAGGCCTGTTATTGTGACAATGTTATTCCGCACTTCGAGGATAAGTTCACTGAGGCAGTCGCTTCTCCCCAACAGACTTTAACGTGCGGTATGGCTGTCTTGGCTATCAAGATGCCATGGGATAGCGCAGTTCAAAAAGGCTCATTCGAAGTCTGGTGGGAAGCCGTGTACGCACTGATGACGCTTCCCCAGTGTTCTGAGAAAGGGTTCACGGACCAGGTCGCGCGGGATTGGTATAGCTTGCGTCACCAACACGAGAATCTTGAAAATTTCAAATGTTGTCGGTCTTGTTACGTTAGTATTCTCCGGCCACTAGACCTGGCGCGTTATTTCGACCCGATTCGTTTCCCACTTCAAAACCCGACTTCTACTCGTGCATGCAGTTTAGCGCCGGATGGCCCACGATATGGTGCTTATATGAAGAAACTCGGGGAGGCTTCGAACCGCCGAAGATTCGACATATTCCTTTCCTACGTTATCCCTCGTGCCAATATCCCTCCTTGTCGCCCAAAAAGTTTCTTGGCACGGATGAAGTGGTATGGCACGGATGAGTTCGTTGCTTGTGAGGAATGTTACTTCGAGTACGTACGAGATAGCCCCTTGAACAGTCAGTTGACGGTACACGCTCGCTACTCGCCCGAACCCCAAGCTTGCGACCTGTATTCTCCTCGGATGAAACATATATGGGAAGAAGCATGTGCAAAACGCGATATCAAATACTTTGCTCGGGCAGCCATTCAGAGAGAAGAAATATACTGTGAAGTTCTAGAACGCTCAAAGGAAATCAACGAGGAGATTGCGGCGAGGCAAGCGGGTGCGGGCCGCCTGACACTCGATTCTGCAGGCAGCGGGGGTGATGAAGGCTACAGATATGGGCGGCACGGCTCGGGGGCTAGCATTATGGATGCGGAATCTGCAGAATTGTATAAGGAGTTAGAAGCTTTGCAAAGGAGATGGAAATCCGTCGAGTGATGATGAATGGCTTTGCACGTTGTTTTATTTATCTTGTTTGGCGTTTTGATCATTCCATTTTATATACCCCGTCCTCTTGCGTTTTCATTCTTCCATCTTTGAAAATAGCGTTCCTTGTCTGGCTTTTGGTGTTTGGTGCATGTACTGCTAGGTCAACGGAGCAGTGGAGGACTTTTTCGGTTTTCATTTGGCTATGGCCGGCTTTGTTTACTATTCAAAGCCTCTATGATGCATATTTGGCATTTTCTCCGTTATCATGGAGACCCCAAAGCAAGCGCTCAGTGTACAAAAATAGGAGGGCGAGGGGGGAAATATCATAACGAAAATATGTTATTAGTGAATTCAAATATACGTATTATCATAATATACCGTACATTTTACTTTGCTTTTTATAATACTCCCGCGGCCGAGTCGAAGTTGGACACCCAGAAAGCTTAGTGATCGCCGGACCAATAAATGTGCATTCTGGAGATGCCTAGTGGAGCGATGTGATTCTGTATACCGTAAGTACTGTAAAGTGTGCACAAACCTCATCGCCACCCAACAATTGTGATGGAGGTAGCACGACTGCTTTGTTCCGTGGAGGTGTGATCTTTGGATGAGGATGTAGATATGTATTATTCTATCTAGAAGGTAACTAGCTACTTCCTCTATATATAGGAGAACACTCTTCTTACCACTACTGTGGGTTCCCAAAGAGGAAATACTTTGGGTTCTGCCCTTGTGCTCATCCATGCACTGTCCGACCTCTGCCACTGCCACACAGCAGGGCTATTACCCTCAACACCCTACTACTGGGATTCTCATGTGTACCATCAAATTGTTCATAACGAATACGAGCACTAAACGACTGAAATCGCCGAAACTTCCACAATGTCAACTCATAGATCCCGAACTGGATCTCATATCCCTCTGCTCAAGAGAGCGGCTGTTTTAACACCTTAGTGGCATGCCAAAATGTCATACTAGAGGATTGAACATGAGTTAGGTATCCAAAAGTCTAACACAGAGGCTATAATTAAAAGAGCAAAGGTAGGTCAGTTTTATTCCAATACAAGTTAAGAGAGATAGATAGGACTTACATTATCATAATCTAGGCTCGCACATCCAATTCCAATGATTTTGATGATGTTCTATGGTGTTTAGATAGTGAGCATGGTGGTGGTACCCTGAAGAGGTTCCCAGAAGGCTGTGAGTAATCACTTGGATTACGTGACCTGAGCCAAAAGGATGAATTGTACTGGGAAAAAAACATTTTCAGAAATCGCAAGCGAGTTAGGTATTACAGCTGCCTAATCAACATTAGAAGGAGTGTTTCATAACCAGTACAATATTTTCCATAGAAAGCCAGCCCATAAGCCAAATCTCTCGTCTACCCATGTTGAAGCATGGGTAGCATTTGCGCATATGGCACTTCAGATTGCAGTGAATATGATAGTATTTACAGATGAAATGTGGGTTGAGTTTGGTAAACCATGCTGTCAACAAAATGTATCACCTTACGGGGAAGTGACCGGCACCTGTTAGGTGGAGACAACTCGATAGACTTCAAGGTTGTCTAGGCCAATCGAGATTCGTTTCTGTCGACGGAGATTGTCTAGAAAGGCTTGGACTTTACTTGATTTGTTTATGACTACTAGGAGTAAAGTAAAATAGGTAAAGTAGGGTAGAATCGTAAAAACAATATTATATTGTTAAGGTCTCTTCTCCGTTGCTTGATAATGTCTAAAGCTTGGGAGGCACTTCGATATTTATATTCCACATCTGAGTGTTCGTGGACTACATCTATTTTTCATACAACTATGTACTTCTTCAATTGTAATTCGCGACGTTGAGTTTTCTTCCAAGGTGCGAACACCTGTGGACCCTGAAAACCATCACACCCTCTTTGGTAATTACGATATTTCTTCTTAGGAAATGTGCTGTCCCCAATAGTAATATCCCGATTAGTAGAGTCTTTAGACTTATGGCCTAGCTCTTAAGTCAATCTGAGTTGGCCCCAATTGTCTTCGCCATTGATAAAATGATCAGGTTTATCCATGGCTATATCTGCAAATGTGGTCGTCATTACAACCATCATAGGTCGTCTGACTTCGATCCTTTGTAACTCCATACCCAACCAATAGATTTTCTCTGGACAACTTCCTATTAACTCACAGGAAGCTATTCCACCAGATTGGTAATTAATCCCTCGGTCGGCAACCCTTGGTTGCTCTCTGGGTAGTAGGTTTCAGTAGCTACTATAGTATTGGGAATCACCCCATGGCTATGACGTGTTCTGAAACCCAGTTGCAATACTCCATGAAGTTCGTTGGCTTCTTTGGTAGTATCTTTTGGAGTTCTAGACTCTTCTGGTGGATGTAAATGTATTGGTCTCTAGTAGAGATCCTTTACCATTTGATACCATTTCTTTGTGCAAAATTGTCCTGTTACTTATAGCCTATGCGAAAGGTGTCATGTCTTTGAAGCCAAGTAACTCTCTAAGTAGTTGACGGAATTACTCTGTTCCACTTCCCAGACCTAGCCGAAGGTCCCCTCTCATATACCTTGCGAACAGGATCTGGTCTGACAGACAGTGATGACGTATATAGTGTTATTCCATCACCTTCAATACTGTGGTAATATAGTCACAGGGCGCAACTGAGATTAATATATATGATGACGTGCGGGCCCCGTAAGGGAGCCAGAGGGGGGTGTTGGAGACCAGAGATTCCAATTCCGAGTGGGGTTACCCTACTTAGGGCGGTTCCTAGGTATCAGGTTCTGGTATTCCTCACACCACCACTACGCACTACACGATAAGGATCATGAGAAGTAGCCAATTCGAATTAGGTTTTAGGGTACAATTCTCCTAGGACGTAAAGAACCCTGTCGTATTTGGGAACCTGACATGTTTGAAGATCGAAGTCACTTTCAGCAGATAATTGACAAGGAGAGTTTGGCAATTCACGAGCGAGCAGAGTTCAACTGGCAGGAAGTTTCTATTCCAGGAACATGGCAGTACAAGAAGCTTACAGATTTTAACCACACAAATGTGAAATTGAATCAAGCTGAAGGACAGACTGAGAGGAACAAGCAAAAGAGGAGAAAGGCAGAACAAATTTTTAAAAAGAAGGAGCTTTAATTTACAAGCCAGGGTAGGATTAACTGGGTCTCATATCATGAGCGAGTTCCACAGACTAAATTTTATCCATGGATGGATACATTAAGAAGCCAGCTCTGCCTCCCATACCTCTACCTTACAGAAGATAACACCTCTTGCCATTAAACAGCCCAGCAGGTTAACCTAACTGAACAGCAATCTCATAGGATTATCATCCTAGATTGGCCATCTAAGTCTGCAGATTGAAACCAGATTGAATGGATCTGAAAATATGACTAGGACGATATTTCTACATTGAGATTTTTGGGTAGTAGTTGGGCAGCTGTGGAGGGTGCAAAACATGTACTTTTGGAGAATTGGGAGGCACTTCCACAGGCAGTAATTGATCGAGAGTGTCAATCCTTCCATGAGAAGCTTCAAAAGGTGATACTTTCCTAATGGAAACAATAATTTCAATGGCTAGAGGCTTGGTAGTATTGGTATAGGATAATGGGACAATCCTTCTCTCTGTATTGTATGTGTTTATTAGTTGTATTGTCCTGTATTGTTTTTCTATTGGCCTGGTGGTCATTACTTAATGTAGGTGTCCAACTTCGACTCGGCCGCAGGAGTACATAACAGTGCCAAAGTTCCTGCCGATTCTAGAAAAGCGCTCAAATTCCAAATCTGGCAACACATCTATCAAAGATGGATTTAGCTCAACATCAATTTAACTGCCCACATACCTACAAACCCCCCTTTATCCTACCAAAACAGCCTGAATTGTCAGAAAAATAGAATGAAATAGAAGCTAGATGTGAGTAAGCATGTTTTTTGAACGTATCAGAAAGTAAGAAACTAAAAATAGTGGTAAGCATATGGAAACTCAGGATTTCAGAGGAGTACCCCCATGCAGAAGTGAAAGATTGTCAAATAAGAGCACAGTAGACAGCAGTCAACAGAAAGCTCTTGAACACTATTTAGAAGATGTTTGGATTGAGAAGTAAATCAATTGAAAACTGTTTTGCAAAATGTATTTTGTAAACAACTATTTGCCAAATACCTCTAGAATGAAGGTTTCCCAAAATAATGTAAAATCAATCTACCAAGAACATGTAAATATAAAGAATTTATAACTTGTAATCTGCTATTGTGTATATAATTAATTTATAAATTATTATAATTACTGCAATCTCTTTATAAATATTTTCTCTCATCTTTTGAAAACAGGTAATATCTTTTCCTACCTCACCAGTATTAGACTTCAAGTATGGCTGATAATATACCTGATATATCAGAAACAATTGAAACTAGAACAATTGCATAACAGATCATCTCAGTACTCACTACCTTACAAACTGGAATATATGAGGAGTAACTTTTGAAAACTCTCTTATGAAAGCATAACTTGATAACAATCGATAGGATCAAAGTCTGGTGTGGGCGGAAAATGGCATTCTTGTAGAATGCGTAAGACTAATCATCATAATGGGTAGTATCTCTTTATATACACTTTCTCTATGTCTGAGGTACACTGATAGCTAAGGCCTAATATAATTTGTGACTGTTTCTACATCTAACAATATTATCATATATCATACAGGCTGTAACCTAACACATTCTTCTACATTCTAGTACCATATCTATCTCTATCATACCTCAATGATCTGTGGTTAAAGATATACATAACACACTCGTAGGCCCAGTTGTAACACTCCGTGAAGTCTATTTGCTTCTGTGGAAGTGTGACTCAGAGCTCTAGCCTCTTCTAATTATTATAGTGTGGGTCAGAATGTATTGGTTTCTGGTAGAGGACCTTTAACATTTGATATCACATCTTTGTGCAAAAATGTCCTGTTACCTATATTATTTGCCATAGATATCTCATCTTTGAAGCCTAGTAACTACCTGGGTAGTGGACACATTCACTTCTTTCTACTTCCTAGACTTAGCAGAAGGTCTCCTCTCCTATATCCTACCAGCAGGATCTAGTTGTATGGATAGCAGTGACATATACAGTGTGATTCTTACACCTTATCATCTGTTGCCTTAAAGTCACAGGACGCAACAGAGATAAGTATGCATAATGATGTGCAGTCCCAGTCAGGGGGCCGGAGGGGAGTGTTGGAGACCAGAGAGTCTTATTCCGAGTGTGGGTACCCTACTTCGGGTAGTTCCTACGTATCGGATCCCAGTATTCCTAACATTATTCTATGTTGGAAGTAACTTCTTACAGAGGACTTCCTGAGATGTTAGTAGATTCTTT